TGTCCTCCGCCAATCGCGGCCCCGGAAAGGGGGCAAGGGAAGAAGGGGTCGCGGCCCGCGAGCTGCCCCTCACGGCCACGGCTCCCCCCCCGCACCCCTCAGGCGAGCGGCGGCAGCACTCACTGTTGAGGCCCGGCTCGGTGTGCGTGCCCTCAGCCGGCGGGTTGTTGTTGTTGTTGTGCTGCGGTGGCTCCTGAGGGCTGGACATGGCGGCGCAGGAGCGGCGGCTGAGGTGACTGAGGAGCCGCTGGGGCTGGGACAACAACAACAACCCCAGACTCCGCTCCGGGCCCGGCCACCCCCCCTCCCTCCCCTCCCCGCCTCTCCCGCACTGCGCACGCGCGAAAGGCGCCGCTCCCGCCTTCCGCCCTCTGCGCACGCGCGGCCCACCATGGCGCGCGCCGTACTTGCGCACGTCTCGCCGCCGCCGCCGCGCATGCGCGGGTCAGGCCGTGAGGGGAAAGGCGGGAGCGGTGCTAGGGCCGTGCGGTACCGGGTGTCACCGCCTCACACACCCGAGATCCCCGGGGTACGGGGGCTGGAGGCGCCGGCCCTCCCCACACAGAGCTCTATAGAACTGTCAAACAGCGCTGTCCTCTCAGGAGAGACGGCCGCGTTCCCTCACCTCAGCTGTAAGCTGGAGAGCACCCCAGGGCTCCAGGCCTTTCGCGGAGCGTGGCTCCTGTGCCATTTCCAAAGAGGACGAGATCCGTTCGCACAACTCCGCACTGCCAAACCTCTATTGCGGTACCCACCGAGCCTCCAGCTCAGACGTGCTTCCACACAAAAGACTGCAGCGAATCCCCCTCCCTCAGCGCAGGGGGTGCGAGGTAACCTGTCAGACCTGCATGGCACAATGGTAGGAGTCTCCAAACGCTACTTGCCTCTCTTATCAGTCTTGCTTTTGCTTCAGGAGAGTTTTAAGCCAACTAGTAGGTCCAGGAACTGCAGTTGTTTGTAGAAGAGAAGGCTCAGAGGGTCCTTACCAGTCTCTACAACTGCCTGACAGGAGGATGGAGGCAGGATGGGGCTGGGCTCTGCTCCCAAGGAACAAGGGATGAGACAAGAGGAAACGGCCTCAAGCTGCACCAGGGCAGGTTTAGATGGAGCTGAGGAACAACTCCTTCCCCAGAGGGTGCTCAGGCATTGGAACAGGCTGCCCAGGGCAGGGCTGGTCCCTTCCAGAGTTCACACACCGTATACATGAGGCCCTCACTGCCATGGGTTAGTGGTGGCCTTGGCAGTGCTGGGATAAAAGTTGGACTTCATGATCGTAAAGGTCTTTTCCAACCTGGTTGATTCTATGACGTACATATGAAATACAGTTAAGATGCTCTGAAAGAACTAATGGTCTTTTACACCCATTTGAAATTATAGGTTTAGCAGACAACCCACCCTTTTGCATGGCAGGTTTTTTAATTCTTGGCAGACAGTTAAGAGAAGATGGCATCTGTAACTAAACGGGACTTGTTCCGGGATGCAAAAGTAGCTACAAAAGTGAAATTATTAGTGTGTGCCATAGTTTCAGCATGAAAATGAAGAGTAACCTCAGGGTATTTATGCACATACTGCTGTACTGAGGCTGGGAATAACGCTGTATTTCCACAGAAGAGACTTTCAGATGCGGTGAGAGAGATGCAAACATCTCTCATCATTCACCTTACCCTGCTGAGGTTTCTTCAGTCGTAGCATGAGTAACTTCTGTACCAATTACCTATTCTAAGTCGCTTTCGTGAAATGATCATATATAGAAAACAAGGTTCTTCTAAATTATTAATTTCAGTGAGTCAGTTCCTCAAGCAACTTCTTGTAGATACTTGGTATGGCAGTTAGCGCAACCTTTACTGGGATTCTTGTGTTTCCAACCTCCTTTTCCACACACATCCTCTAACAAAAAGAACAGCAAGACTAACTTTCTCACAGATGATTATTTAATTCACCTTCACAGCTTGAGAAATCATCTTTAGTAACTTCATTCCGTTTGACATCACTTAAACTTCAAGGTTTATTTTGAGGCCTATAGTGGTTTTGGTAGTGTACCTTCAGTCCCATCTCACACACACATACATAACTGTTTTGCTTCCCAGCAGCAGTAAAGGAGCCTTTTATATCATAAACCCCTCCCATCAGCAGCCATGAAAATACAAATTGTAGGTTTTTACTGCACAATTCTTACCAAATGGACTGTGTGACTACTGAATGTGTGACCTTGTGGAAAATCTATGTGTCTCTGGGATATCACTGGTAGGGAACTGGCAGTGCGTAGTAAAACCGAAGCAGTAATTTAAACAATTTCATAAATCAGGAAGGCCACAGATAACTTCCAGATTGGAATCAGAACAATAAGGTGCTTACAATTTTGAATAGAAAACCTGCCCAGGTAACCCTATCCTACTTTGCAACCCTGACAATCACAGGCCAGCATCATGACTATTTGTCACCTCCATCATTCAGGAAGCATTTGCTGTAATACCTGTGGCATGAATATTTATCAGTAAAGTGGGACTATTAAAATTTCTGAGTCAGAAATAAATTGATCAAGATTATAGAGTGAGTCAATGCAGAGCCAGAAATAGCATTCACAAGTCCTGACTTTCAGCCCTGTGCTCTCACCACTACACAGGTTCCTGAAGGCAGTTGGGTGATGTAATTAATGTTTGTAAAGTAATTTGAATCCTTGGATGGAAAATGCTATGACAATAGCAAGGTTGGAGGGACAGAAAACCACATGTTAATAGAAGAGAAACAATGGCCATAAACTCCTGGGAAAGGCCATGTGCACTGAAGTGCAGTCAGGTTTTTCTTCTGGAAAGTTAGAAAAAGCCTTTAAGTTGAACAAAAACAAGTATTAAGCCACATCATTTATCTTGAGCAGAGCCAACCTAATCCCACCCCTCTATTCCCACAGTTCCAAGGTGGTGTACACATTTGAAGCAATTTAAGTAAGGAACAATTTAGTCTTAAACATGCTGCAATTACTTTTATTTTCTTCATGTTGTACTTCTATGCCCCAAATCTGAAAAAAAAAGTTAAGCTGTTGCTAAAATGGATGCCAGCATCCACCAGCCAGCAAACAGTCTTTTCTCTCCACACCTTGGTTGGTATCTTCATGCCAGAGGCAGTGATGATGCATCCTGGAAATGCCTTGCTTGTTTTTTTATCTCTAACAACTGATCAAACATATAGTCCTTGCAGATGACTAGCAATTCTGAAGATGGCTTCGACGGACAGTCACAGTATCTTACCGTGATCCCTTGCATTTCTGAAGCATCCACCTCTCTTTGGTAACATTTTGCCTCCTAGTGGAGAGCACCGACAGAATTGCAAGGGCTCTTTTCTTGTGGAGGAGAAACAATAGATGGATTGTTTGCAAAAGGTTGAGATTATTAAAATTCAAAAGTAGATTTGGTATAGAAATGGAACTCATAGTTTCTTAGTGTCTCAGTCGTATCAGTGTAGAAAGAAATGTTCACTCTTTCTATTCCAGCCACTATCGCTTTCTTCCACCACTCATTTTTACAAGCCCAAACCTTCCTGTATCAGGTTAAATAAATGTTTGCTAAAAGCAAACACAAGACAAGTCACCTAAGACATCGCTAGTCATTAAACAGCAACCTCACTTCCAGCACACCTCTCCCATCTCAATCCAGTACATCCATCCTTGGATTTATTAATGACATGGCAAAGGGCAAAAGGAAACAGCTTCTGTTCAATTTATGTCAGAAGTGTATCCTGTGAACTGGGAGGCTGTACACTTCCCTGCAGCCAGAGGTGAAAAGCTGAAGACCAGTGCGAAGGAGATTATGTTGTGCCTATGAACAACTAATTCCAGAGCCAACAATAAAACAATTACAGAAGTATTAGCATTCCATCATCCAGCAGCTCCTCCCTAAGAGGGGGAAGTACGGGTTTCTACTTATCAGCACCAACTGTGGCTTTTCCAGTTTGGCTGAGAGTAAAAGAATATGTAGTTAAATAATAAATGCTGGAGTAGGAGTTAGTCCTGCCTCAACAGAACAGGAAGGGAAAGCAGGGTGTTACTGCATATTCAACTGTTTTCAAGGCATCAGGCACTTCTCACCAGGAAAATAGTGAAGACACAACAGTCACAGAACTCTGACGCCCCAGCATTGTACCAGTTGGATAATCAGCTTACACTGAATGTTAACTGTTGACAGCAGGATCACTGAGGTTCAGAGTATGCCCGTAATTTTACAGATACTAGCTGCTTAAGTAGCCATTCTTGGCATTCTGCTTCCAGATAAGATAGCAGGGAACAGAACTTGTCTGTACTTCATCTGGTATTAAAGGATAGAGAACTGAGAATTCATACTATTTCATGGGGCACTGGAGAAGACCTCTAGAGCAGAGCAGCTGCTGTTGGGCACCCCAGCACCCCCTGCCTGGGAAGTGCTCCAGGAGACACCCAGAAATCACAATCCAGGAATAGTGTAATGGGGCACCAGGCAATGTGCTGGAGGGAAGAGATCAGTAATTTCAAAACCACCTGCAAATAAGAGAAAAAGGAGAGGGCCAGGACAGAGGATAAAAAGCAACCTGACAAGATGTATTCTATGCATACTTTTATTAATAAAATATAAGTTTTACAGCATATGTCAATGGACAGTGTGCTTAGAGAATTCTCTAGTTGGATAGTATGACACCGAAGTCAGTAGCTGGTTTTGGTGAGGATAAATTAAACCTCAGATGACATGCCAGGGATCGCTGCTATTGCCAAAAGCAAAACTCCTGCCCAAGACTAGCGTTAGAACCCCTGATTCCATCCCGACACGCACAGCTGAGGTCTGAGGTGGTTTCGCTTGACTGTAGTATTGCTCGGAGGCTGCACTTTGTCCTCTGGGAAGTCTACCTGTTCCCTTCTGTGTCATCTTCACATCCTCACTTCCTTCTGTCTCTGCGCTAAGCGACTTCTCAGGTATTCAGTGCATCATTCGGGATAGATACAAGTGTGGCAGTCTTAATACCATGACCCTCCAACTTCCCAAAATAGCAGTCATTAAACCTACCCCCTTCTTCGCAAAACGGAGATGAATTTTACCAGCTATGATGCAAAAGAAGCATCTAATTACCTCTTCGCCCTTGTGATGAGAAAAGAATAAACCTTGGCCCTGATCCTGTAAACACCTATACACATGATTAATGTTACCCAACAAGTTGTTTCCTTAACTATTAGCAAGTATAGTCATCAGTAAAATTAGTCACATGCTATGCAAGCAGGAATAGGGCCTATTAGTTTATTCACCCATTGGAGAACAGTTGCTGTCTCTGGGGCAGTTCAATTCTTTACAAGGCTAACAGGTGAAAAAAAAAAAAAAGGTAAACCCCTTACAAAGGCTCATGGTCAGGCATGCATGTTACAAGACAAATACTGTATTTAAGAGAACCAGATCTAATAAATATTAGAATTTTTACATTTTCAAACCACTGCACAAGGAGTTAAATTAAAGTATGACTGCAATAGTAGTCTTGTTAGCCTCTAACCCAGCCATAATTTTACAGCAGAAACAGTATCTTAGTTGATCAAATAATAAAGGCATTATAATAACTACCTATAACTAAGCCACAGAAATAATTTAAATATAGGTAACTGAAAAGTGAAAATTCTCCCAGTCAAGGTGAGTTCACTACGACTTTCAAACTTCATTCTGAACATTTCTTTGAAGGAGGAGGAAACCTAAAAGCACAATTAGCAAAAATATCTGGAGGTAAAAACTCATGAGCCTTATAAAGCATCGATATCTAGTTCATCTTTGGATAAGCCTTATTTGCTGAAGAGTTTAAATCTCTCATCTCAAATAACTATGAACACTTATTTCATGCAGCTTCTGTACTCCACGTATTTTCTGATCGTTGCACCATTTAACATTTCTGTATGTGCAGTAACTTTGCAAAGCCAAAAGCAACACTTGCATGGTAAAACTACATTTCCACTCAGTTACTGATAGCAATAAAATACAGAAAATAGAGCATCTCAGAATGCAGTGTAGTCATTATCTATGTAATCACGTGGTATTGTGCACTACAGAACATCATACTGCCAGACAAGAGTTCAGACAACAGTTTAAAAAGCCACAGGGGACTTTGTACTCTAAACAAGGCATTAAAGGTATTGTATCCTAAAACAAGGCATTGAAGAAACCAGGACAAAACCAAACATTAAGACGTTAGTCCCGTAAAACAGATTTTAAAACCTGAAAATTCTATTCCTCTTCCAATTTAAGCAATAGGGTTTTTAAAAAAGAGCCTTCAAGGATACTGGAACAGTATCTGATGCGTTCAGATTGTGGCAAAATCTGACAGCAGTTCATGGACTTGAAATGGAAGTGGTGTTCTGGTTATTCATGAACGAATGCAGCTACTTGTGAAATCCCTCCCTCTCTTCGTTCCCATGAAAAATAATTAATACTGGTTAAAATCATTACAAAAAACATCATTTTATTTTCATGCATCTAAGGTAAAACACAGAGTATTTGTATAAAGAGGTAGATTAAAAAAAAAAACAACCAAAAAAAAAACCCAGATTCTCCATTCTTTGTCACTTTTATTCAGTAGTTTGTTTTTTTCCTTATTTTCTCCTTTTTTTTTTTTTTTTTTTTTGGTGCCAGACATGGCAAGGAGTGATTACAGTCAACTGTTTATTAAAACATTGGTTGCAACACAGACCCCCTTTACCACTGACCCCAAACGGACCCATTTCATGTGCTTTATTTTGTTGGGTTTTTTCTACACCACCACCAAGGCGAGGTGGAGGGGGGTGAAAGGGAAAGGGGGAGTCCAGGAGGCCAGAAGGAGGAGGAATGCTACAAGCCACAGCAAGAATGAGCTGTATTTAATAAAAAAAGGGGGCCACGAATGATACAGTAATGAGGTTACACAATTAAATCCCATAGCATGACTGAAGGCTTTCCCTGTGTTGGACGTCATCACAATGGAAGGCATAAAAAGTGGAGTAAACCGATGTTGATACAGTCCAATCTAGTCCATTAGGCAAGATGGTGCAAGTAGTCATTTAAATTAAAAAGTGCCCTATCCTCACCTAAATGGCTAGCAGACATGGAGAAGAACGCAGTGACACATCAACAGAGCTTTCTCCATGTAGCTATAAAAGTGTGTTGTCATATGGCACATTTTTAAACACTGGAAAGGGGGTGCCATAATGGACCTCTCATTCTCTTTTGTTTACAGGTACAAATGCTAGATTCAACTATTTCAACTATGCAGGAAGTGGACTCTTCAGGTAGGAATGCCAACCCTAATTCATTTTGTCTTGAAATATATACAAGTTGTTTGTAGTAGCTACGGCAATGATGTTTTCCTTAGGATGCCAGGCTGTGTGTAGAATCTTCTTGTTGAAGTCTAGGCTGTCAACACTGATTTCATCCTTCTTTCGCTTACCACTTGCGCATACTTTACGGGGCTTCAACACGGTACGGGGCTTGTTGTTTTCCCGGGATGCCTCTAAGGTGATGTCTCGCTTTGTGTTCCTGTCAAACATTCTGAAGAAGTTGTTGTAAGATCCTGTCATGACAATGCTGCAGAGAGGCAAAAAGAAGAAAGGAACAATTCAGTTGAAAATAACCTCTCCTTTCATGAAGCCTGAAGGTCCCGATGAGTATCATGCCTTACTGAGTCACATGCTAAAGTGAAACTAAGGCATTGGAATGTTTTATAGATTTAAAAAAATAGTATCTTTCTCCTTAAAGTGTGTACCTTAAAAGGTCCAGTTATCTAAGCATTTTAATTTGTCATCACTCAGTTTGCTTCTCACGCACACATGAGGAAGCGAGCTAACAAAAGCAAAATACATCGTATTTTTAGCCACATAATTTTAGTTACATGAAAGCTGCATGAATTCAGGTACTAACAAACATACTGAGTTTGTGATAATACCTTACAGGAGATCCTTATAAGACATATACACTTACAAGTTTCCCTGCCCTTCCTTTGCCTCAAAGAATACTTAAAGTTAAAAACCCAACAACCTCTATCTGACAATACTGGTAGGGCTACAGTGAACTGATTTAGATCTAGCAAATAAGCAGTTAATGACACGATTAACACAAAAGCAACTGTCTTAAATGCTATTATTGGCTAGTCAGCCATGCCCAAGCAAGGCAAACTTAACAACTTGTTGTAACAAAGAGAACCCCTGGAAGGTTTTTCCTAAGTGCCCTACTTGCTGACAAGGCATCTTAATCAGAACATGCTTTGCTACATCAAGGATTAAGAGCTAATATACATCCTTTTAAGTTTACTGAAGTACTAAAATATTATCCAAGCCAGTCCTTGAATAAAACCAGACAGGTACGAGGTCATGCTTCAAGTTGCCCATTTTAATAACTTAAGTGCGTAGAGAGAAAAATTAAACTTGCCTGTCTGATCCATTCCAACAGCATTCAAATTTGTCAAAAATGCAATCGTTCTCATAGAGTGAGCAAAGTTTACTTCTGAGGTATTCATGCACCTGCAAAAAGAAAAAAACTGAGGTAGATAAACTGAGGGAATATTGAACCTGCACACCTGTAAAACAACCTGCACAGACTCTGTTCCAAACGGAATGAAGTACGTGACTGCTTGCACCCCCTCCACCGGAGCACACACAGCTCCCTCCTCTGGATGGATGAGGAGCAGAATGAGCAGAGGCCTGAATTAACATGTTCTGCTTTACAAAGACTTCACATGAACTCAAAGAGTAGCAAATCATTTGGGGAGGGAAAGAGCTGTCTCCCAGAACTGGGCAGCCCTTCAGAATGCTTTCCCTCTCCAAGCAGCTCTCATACCTTCACTACCCTTTCAGATACTGAAAGACTTTGCTTATTTCTAAAAATCATGCTTTGGTGACTGATGTCTGATGGTGTGATTTTCCTAGTCAGATGAGAATATCACTTCCCAAATTTCCTTATACAGGAAACACCACAGCAATTTTCAGTGCTGGCTAAAAACATCTTCTGCAAAGGAAATGTTTTGCCTCCTCCCACTTTGTCCAGGAAGGAACAGAAGAATATAAAGTCATCTGAAGACTTATACTATCTTACTGCTGAAGATAACCTTTACTGGGTAAGAGGGAGGCTTTTTCATACCCAGACAGGGGTTTGGGTTCTGCAGTCAGCCTGCAACTAGCAAGATCCTCAAGCACATGTGTGAAACACAAATCCCACCACTGCTTTCCCTGGATATAGTCATCTGTAGACAAAAGTCTAACTGCTACATCAAGACTATTAGTAAGACTCAGTATCCTTCAAGGTTTATAATTTCTAGCCTACATCATCTTTACCAAATACCTGGTATGTTTCCACAGGTCTGTTTTCCATATTTAAATCCCAGATCTTCACTGACAGATAATCTCTAGTCATCATGTATCGACCACTATGGCTAAATTTGACATCAGATATGGAAGAGATGATTTCAGAGAAAAATGATCTGTTGCTAGGATCTTCTGGTTCTTCAAACACTGTAGGAAAGTAAGACAGGCATTTCAAGAAGTAAGCTTGTGTCTCGTCCAATACAATACACCCACATTAGGTTAACAACCTCTCAATAACCTTGCCACAATCCACTTCTGAGTGAACTACTCACTAATACTTGGAGTCTTCATTCATACATGTAAGATTTCTAGCATCAAGTACACACCAAGCACCTAGTATTTGGCCTCCTGAAGGCCATTCCTGTCTAAGCAGACTCCCCAGCTTAAGCTGCTAATAACTTTATTCATTACTTTGGCAAAACATGAACCTAACTTTAAGATTATTTAGAATATAGGCTTTAGATCTATCTAGTCAATACACTTCAGAAATCCAATACAAATACACACAATTCAATGCTTAATCTATTCCTAATCAGTGCCTCATTTCATCTAGCAGCAAGATAATCATATTCCAGAAAATGACAACAAACACTGCACAAGAGAACTTACATTTTGAATGTCGGTCACAGAGTGCTGATGCTCTCATATCACAGAGACGAATCGTTCCTTTACTGCTGCTGTACACAAATGTGTTACAGCTGTTCGGGTGGAACTCTGCTGCTGTTATCACCTCTGTGAGCTCCTCCATGTTGGCAGGCTTAATATCTACAATATCTACAGCATTTTGTTAAGAAACGGTCTCCAGTTTTCATAACCCGTCTTTCAGCTTTAAAAGCATCCAGCAATGCTTTTTCAGGACCGTGGGACCCAGTCAGAAACTGGATAAAAGTGAGAATCAAGTCTCACAGTTTGTCTAGAAAACGAAACTGTAACACTGCATTCTATAGCAGTTTGAAGTTAATGCTTGTAACAATGAAAGACTGCTTAATATACGTCAAAGATTTTTCACATAGAACTTTGTTTCAGTTCTAATTACTACATTATAAAGAACGCATCTGCAAACATATTCCTGTGATCCTACTGCCTATAACATCTGCAGGGGCACACATGAGAGGGGCTGATGGTTAGGCTAGAAGGCAAAAAGGCATAAGCACTGTTGAGAGAAGGATGTTATTTCTGACTTGCTTCTTACTGCAAGTCAAGAATATGTTCACAAGATAGTTTACTGTGATCCTGCCTTCCAGAACTGCTCATCTCATTTGAAACCTTTAGCTTTTTTTCCTCTTCTAAGAGTGTTTTGCACCACGCTAATGACAACCACTCCTTATACTGCTCATGCTGAGCCACCTCTTCAGCAGGAACAGGGATAAATAACCAGGATGTGGAGAGACACACTATACGAAAAGCTTTTCATGAAAGGAAAGAAAATCCAACAGCTTTGTTGTAACCAAAAAAAGATACTAAAACTTCTGTCTGTAATTTCTAGGTGCCACAGGTTAATCCGCAAGTCATCTGCAGATAAGTACGTTTCATAATCACTATTAATGGAGATGGAATTGATGTGATACGTGTGAGCATTGGCAAATATTCTTCGTGGACTAGCTTCAACCATGAGGTCCATGGGCCTGAATACTGGCACCTGCAAAATACAAAGCAATGGAAGTTTGAGATGCAAATGTACTACAAACACAGTAGCACTCAAACACACTGCTCGCATACATCAAGTCAATTAAAATATCTCAGTATCACCTCAGAAGTAAATGTCTGCCAGCTAACATCACAGAAAATGTAACCTTAATAATGTGATGGGACAGTTACTCACTAAGCCACAGGCTAATCTGTGGTGCCAGGGGAGGGAGAGGAGAAATCACTTCAGTGTAGCTAATCCACCAAGTGAACTACTCACCCGTAGTGTTGTAACTGTAGTAGGATCCCTATACCGTCCATCTTCCTCCTTTAAATTATAACCCTCCGGTCTTTTGTCCCTTTCACTGATTTTCCATAACTTTATGGTTTTATCTGAAATAAAGCAGCCACAGTTTTAAAAAAGATCAAAGCTGTAGGAAAGATACTCATCTTCACAGTTGATGCACTTTAACACGAAGCCTTCAAGCAAGACCACCTACGTGTACCGAAAGAGACAAAAATACCGCTTGGAGAAAACAAGATAAAAAGCATTTGAAAGACCTCCTCCGCGGTTTGTTCTTTATAAAGTTACAGCAAGTTTCAATTAGAATGAGGACTGTTATGAATGATTAATGTCAGCTCGCTCACAGTTAGTGAGACACAGGTGAAGGTACTCAATGACACCTTCACCAAGCCCCTTTGCTCTAAAACAACCGTATCAGAAAAGATGAATACACCACCCCACGCTATGGAACTCCTGCATCCAGGTGACCCAGAAGAACAGGACAGTTCAAACAGTGTAACTCCTGCACAGCCACATCCCTAGACACGTGGACTAAAAACCAACTTGCTTCTGGCCTTTTGGAAGTGGAGAGAATCAGACAAAAATCCTAATAGCAAAGGTATGCAACGAGGTTACCACGCAAAATTAACTGTGAAGTCATAACTTACCATTTGTAGACAATAAAAACTGAGCAGCATTTTTCTGGGGTAACCACCTAATTTTGTTGATCTTCTCTTCAATTTCTAAACTTTTCAAGTAGTCAAACTCTGGTTCATGGCTTTGAAAGGTACTGTAAACATTGTATTCTCCTCTACTGTGAGACTGGGTTTTGTTCTAAAAAGAGAATTAAATGATCAAGGTATGTACGCAATGTGCAGAATGCTTTTCAAGGCTGCAGGCAGAAACCAGAACTAGATATTTATGCAGCAAGATACACAGGCAGACTGCTAGTTAGCATAAAAAAATAGCACAAAAATAGGTTAAGACTACACTCTCTGGCTGCCTATGCCAGACCTGCCTTGAGTACCCTTTGATGTACAACTTGCCTTACTGCAACAAGCCCATGGAACAGACAAAAATGAGGATCATCTCTTTTGCAAGGTTTTGATTACAGTTCCTACAATTTTGGCTAAGAAAACGTCAGAGACAGTTATGGCAGCAACTTTGGATTCCCAGAACTTCCAGAAACTCCCCTCAGCCACATGAATATCATCTCCAATAAGTTCTCATGTTAATTCCAATCAGCTCAGCTTGCAAACTAACATTTTACCTAAACACTGTAGGCATGGTAAGGTTTCTTTTCTTAAAAAAAACCAACAAAGAAACCCTCAAAAATCTTCATCATTCTCTCATCTTTAGTATTTCTACCTTTGTCTTTTAAGAAGAACATTCCCCACGAGAATGACACAGCCACACATATGTCAGATCTTCTCTGTGGGCAAGTTCAGCTTGCTAGGCACACTATCGAAATCCCACACGTCACCTCTAAATTTATACAAGCAGCTCCACATTCCCCAAGACCTTCTAAACTGCTTAAGCAGCTTTTTCTTCCTCATTTGGAGATGGGGGTGGAAAGGAAAAAAACCCCACCTCTGCTATAATACACCTCTGACATGAAAAGTCACACCTGCAGTCAGCCTGTGCAGGATGGAACCGTCTGGAAAACTGAAAAACCTCCAAACCTGCACAATTCCTCTTCCTACAAGCTATGTTTTAGGCAGTGGCTTCCTAACACCAATACTGCACTGGGTGAACTGAACCTTAAATTCCCATTTTGGAAGCAGCGCTTACTAGAAATACCTGACATTAATTTAAGCTTAATTTTGCAACATATTCCTGTCCCACCCCCTTCATGAGGTTGCCTTTCCTGGGATATGTTCTTGACTAGGGACTTTGCTCCTTCCTTCCCTTGTGTGTCTCATGCCCATCTATATTCATTTCATCCCTTAGTGCCTCACTAGAACATACTTCTTGATATGATCCTTGCAAGCCCACATGTATTACATTCCTCACATCATTTTCTCTTGCTTCATACCCTTACATTAATAGCTGGCAGGATTTCTTACACTTTGCAATAAGCTGTGGGGGAGGGAAATGTGGACAAAATGCTTAGAAATACAATTTGGCACTAGGATGTTGTACCACACCTACCAATTGCACTGGCTTTCCCACCCTAGAGAATGGAAGAACCTTTGTTCCAAGTTTCAGTTAGACATAGCAAGTTAAAGCAGGGTCACTGCCCAGAACAGGCAACTTCGAAAGGAAATCTATTGTGCTTTAGGAAATGCTGGTCATGATTCAGGGAACTTTCCTTCAATTCCATACTTACCATAGCGACTGAGTCTTAAATATACTTCTTGTGGAGTCTAGCAAAGCTCTATTAGAGTAGTAGAGTAGTAAAGGACTAGAGTAATATATAAAGAGATGAAATCCACCCTTGGGATAAAGGCAAAATTTAAACCATCAGACTATCTCATGGCACTCAAAAAAAATCCACCCAAGAAGAGGTGTTGGCCCAAGTGCCTCATGTTAAATTCCAATTTAGGTAATTACAGGCTGCCTACGCAAATTCCTCCTTCAGTTTCAATTAGATACAGTATTCATTTCCTGCCTGCTCCTTGTGTAATGTCACTTGCTTCGCCTTGCAGAAGGGCCATCACGTTCCAGCCCAGAGGTGGCAGCCTTTTGGTAGTGGGTGAAGTTGTACAAGCTTGTATATTAAGCTTATTGTGCTTATGGGTTAGTGTTTTTTTTCCTGTACGTATAGTCTGAAAAGCACTCAAATGCTGTGTGATAGGAAGTGGTACATAAATCCAACTCGAATAGTTCATTGTCTTTTAGATACTCCTAACACATAAAACTTGCTCTAGACAGTTGTGCCTGTAGCATAACTCACTACTAATGCACTAGGGAATGAAGTCCCCATTGCTCATTCCCTAAACACTGAGAAGTCAAATTATGCCAAAAACAACACTATGCAACTCAATCTGATAACCCAGGTGGTTCCCACTGTACCCAGCTTCATAGATCGTAAGGATATGAGCCATAGGTTACACATCAAAACCAAATGTAGGCATTTAAAGACAACTCATTTGCAAGCAAGCAAATAGCTATTTAAGCTTCATTAAAGGATCCCTAAAGGATGCAAGCTAAAGCTCAGAGTGACAAAACACCAGGGTTTGTGCCCCCCACAACTACAGGCAGATTACACGCGGGACTATGTCCACCCCAGACTCTGGCCAAAGCAACCCAGGCAGAGGCAGGCCAGTTGGGAACACCCCACTAGATGGCTCCCCCTGACCACGGTGACTTGTCAAGAGAAGGCCCTGTCCTGGAGTTGGCTCTTACCAGCAGAAAGGAGCTTGCTCTGGGGAACTGTGGGATTCTTAAAGTTGAGGACTTTTAGAGTTGAAATTGAATGAAACACTAAGGAAAGAAATACCAGCATGACCTTTCTAGGCAGTGACAGAAGTGCCTTTCATCCTCTCCTTGAAATAAGTGCTAACCTAGTCAACTTCTAACTACAGCTTTAATTAAAAAACCAAGCACTCCATCTCACTTCTCCTCTCAACACTAAGGTTGAGGCCCTTTCCTAGCATCAGAAGATTTGTCTGTAGAATTCTGCAAAGACCAAAAGAACAAGTATAAAATGAAGAGATACCGTTGCTACTATTACTCTAGGATTTTACCTGATTGATACCAGAATGGACAAGGACATCTTAGGTCAGTTACAAACTCACTTAGGGACAACTTTGATTTCCCCCACTACAGTGAAATCTGAAATAATCATCACAGCCAAGTAGAGTCATTACAAACCAACTAGCTTCAGCTTCCCCAAGGTCTTTTTGTGTCCTAGCCCCCTTTTTTGTTTTCACCTTAAGTGCTCTTTAGACCACAGCCAAAGAGTGTTTGAAGACAAATTAATTTCCAACAGCATCACTAAAGTTCTCAGTAATTTCTTCACTCTTAAGTTTCATTATTTTAATCACTTATTACACACCATGCATTTTGTGTAACCTCTTTAAGAAGAGAATGAATGGGAACAGAGCAGAGTATTAAATATACCTCACATAGTTAGCACTCACCTCCTGCTCCTGTTGAAAGATGACAACTCTACCTCCTTTGTCTCCTGTTGCTAACAACTCTCCAGAATGGTTAAATTCTACTGTAGAAATTATATCCGCTGCATGGGAACAGAAATAAACCCGTTAAGTTCATAATTCTCCTAAATATTAAGCGTTCAAGAAAGATACAATTATAAGTAAAAAAGAAAATGCACACTTTGATTCAGTTTAAGTATCTTTATGTTGAAGTAAAGTGCAAGTAGGGAGTTCTTAAAAAATACAGAAGTAATTTTTTCAAGCTACACATTTCATACTAGTATGCACAGTTCACCGTGCCAGAGTTCCAAGTTCAGTGTTGTGCACTCAATTGGTTTTAAAGGTTTTACATCATCACCTCTTAGAGGTGTTTCTCTGTTGCGACTCCAGTATAGTATAGAAATGGATTTTGTGTGTACTGTAAGAGCAGAGGGATTATGTATATACATACTCCTACCTTTATTTTCTCCATTCTTTCCGGTAAGAGATTTAGATACAATCATTACCCATACCATTTCAAAGCTTTTTTATTTTGTAAGGACTATGAACGCATGTAGTAACTCAAGGGCAAAACATCTTAGGGTGGAGATGTTCAGACATCAGTGTCTAAGGAATGCAAGGAAGTGGAACAAAAACAGCTACAGAAAATTAGGAAATCAATTCAACAGACTCCCTAAAAAACTTGAGTATCTCTTCTGGATGAGGACAGTTTCCATTACCATGCACACTTTTATATGGAGTGATAAAATGAAATGGGGAATATACATTGACAATGACCTAGTATCAAACTGATCTGCTTGTAGAGCAAAAAGGACAAATTATGACTTAAGCTCACACACACTGATTCATGTTCTCAAATGCACACACGCCCCTCATACTTTCAAACAGCAGAAGCAGGAGCCAAATCATTCTTCAAGCACTTACTTCAAGCTGCAAAACAAACATATAAATCTAGTTTTCTGCAGAAGAAAATACCTGCAAGTTTTGACACATGCAAGTCTTCGGGCTAGTTTGCTCTCACGTCAGTCTAATGGAGATAAACAGTGTATCCACATTTTCTATTGGATGGGTTCTACGTGTTTTAGAGTTATGAAAGGACTGGTACCTGCTCTACAGACCAAAAGCTACTGCTGGATTTAAACCAGAACTATCATGCAGCATAGCACAGACGCTATCTTATCATGAACAGCAACAGGGGTATTTCATTGTGAAGCAGTGAAACGCACAGGACTTTCCTCTTATTCATCTTAATACCAAAAAGAAACTTACATCATCCTTGGGCTGTCCCAAACACATGGGCGGTGGCCTCCAAGGACATGAGCAAGCTGTTCTTCCATAACTGCATTACACAGCAGCCAGGAGCATGCAGTCTGTGTGTCTGAGCACAGCACAATGCAAAGACAGCCCAGACACACCGGCTAAAAGATGCAGAGTCAGATTCTTGGCATGAATGGGTCCATACAGCTCAGTTGTATTTTCCACATACCCAGCACAAACTGCCACCTAACTATAGCTAAACGCAAGATTATCTCCATGGACCTCCCTCGCCACAATAACCTGACACTGCTGAAACACAAACTGGCTGCTATTTCTCAAGAACACTGTGTTAAGGACATAAATGTGACGTAAACCTGTGCGTAGTTAAACCAGGATCCACATCACACAAAGGAAAACCTTGATTTGAGAGCACATCATTTTTTTTCCTGGAGGTTTATGGTTACTTTAGCCATTCATTCATGTGTTTGTGAACAAGATTAAGCGATACCTCTCACATCTGTAAGACCTAAGACCACATACTATTCAGATGAAGATACAGCATTCAGTATGTACCTATCACAGGTGAACGGGGCATAAAGATAACACACAATCAAATCCAATCTGCAAAAAGAGCCAAGAGCAAACTGAGCAATCTGATTCCGACTACTCCTTACAATGCAAATCACACTGTTGTAATCCTCTGATAGGGTAAGACCTTAAGGAAGTTATCAATGCATTGAAGAAAACTAAGATAATTCATGTATCGATAGTAAGAACTATACAGAATAATTACTGTTCTGAAAACCACTGCAAGCTATGTCGGTCTTAGAGAAGACAATACACAAGTTATCAGCAGATCTAGAAGTGCACATGTATGTGGAAGGAGAACAGCAAACAAAAAATTGCCTTAAAAATCTTATATATCCATTTAAGTATAGATGGGCAATTTCATCCTAGTGCTTACTTGGTGAAGTCACTGTAAAGTTTTACAAGGTCAAAAGACTTAGGATTAGATCAGGCAACAACAACAGCTAGAAAAATCTTAAAGGGATAAAACCTCCATTTTCTGATGTAATATATATTTAATTATGTAGATAACTAGAATTAATAATTCTACAAATCTCAAATATAGCAGAAAGTTAACCACTTGTCTGGAACCATCCTAGGCATTCATTCTTTCTGCATTTACTTTAACTTTCACTATTATCTACTCCCAACGTCAGTGATCTCCAAGGTAATCCAAGTCCTGCTTCGTCTTGATACTCAAATGCATGAATGAATTTCAAGTACTAACATCCCCACACCTCCAAAAAGTCCAGCAGGCTCAGCCAGTGGTGACAAGGGTCTGAAAACTCCCTGGTGCAGACCAACCCTATGCAAAAGACCTTTTGAAGTACTTGGATCAATTTTACATTAGAAACAGAATACATTCTTTAGCAGCAATCACAATGACAAATTAAATAGTTTCTAAACTCAAGATACATCTCTAGAATCCAACATGCCTTTTACGCTGTGATCCCGGACTGTCCCCTTTCCAAGGACAAAAATGTGCTAAAAAAAGTAGGCAGAAAATAGATTTCTTCTTAAGCAGCCCCAAACCAGGGCTGAGATACATATTTCATACCAAACAACCAGTACTGGAGAGCAAAGCAACCAGCCACACATTTTAAATCCAGTAACTCACCATTAAGGATACTGTATTCCCATACCTTGGTCAAAGAGACAGACATCAAGGCACTGGTGTTGAACTGGGTGGATTTAATAGTGTTTGAGAATTGACAGGGGAAGCATTTCATCTTCCGCAGTGCACTGATTCACTTGGGTATTTTCATCTGTATTAACACCCTCGTTGCCAAAATAAAAAGCACCAACGTTATCCTTTCCTTTTCAAATGGTAACTACAATTCCCATGACAGTTACATGGAGAGTTATTTTAGTCCTTCCGCACCGCAACGGGCAAAAGAGCATCTATAGAACGCGCTGCCTTCCCTCTGCCTCCTCCCTTTTGTGCATGCTATTTTTGCTACAGTCTCTAGGTGGGAGTCTTGCAAACACCGAGGGCTGCTCTCACTGCCCAGAAGCTTGTAAATGATCCCTTCTGTGCAAAGAGCACCAGGGAAGAATATTTAAGGGAGAAGCATATGTACAGCCCTCAGTTGTCACCAGCATCACTGGCCTTTGGGAACTGCTGCATTCTGTTGTTTACTGCTGAATTCATTTCAATGCCCTCTTCTTCAAGTACCAGTATCAGAGACAAATAACCACCAGAACCTTATCTGATAACCATACCCCTCACAGGATACAGTTAGATAGCATTATCTGTTAACAGCTTCCACCAAGCTAACTGTGACTTGGAGATCAGCCTTGTCTCTCTCCTCTCCCCAAACATCTTGAGGCACCTTTGACACCAAGATGAAGCATTTAAATGCTGAAGACATTTCAAATGCTGAGATTGTTTTAAAACACTACAGGGCAACACCAGACACAGAAGGTGAATACATCATTCTGACAAAAGCAAAACCAGGACAGAAATGTAGATCTACATTCCTGTAGCATACCTGCAATACCTGTACTAAGCTCCTCCCTCTTGTATAACTTGGGATAGACAGCTCAGGGGTTACTAGAGTGTTTAGAAGTACTTATTTGCACAGATGTACTTAGTTTCATCTAAATATACCTTCATAAACATTTCTGGTCAATACCAGAAACACTTCAGAGACTAAATACTTCCAAATAACGGGTTTCAGTGATGTGAAAGTAAGGGAGGATTGGGGGAGGGCATCCCCTACACAGCCTAAAATCTCTTTACTCTTGTTACACATGTACATCACCAAGGGATGCTATGAATTAAACAAAACTACAGTACAGTTGTAACCCTACCTCAAAGGGACAAAACACACTAAAGCCAAACCAAGGCAGTGATCCCAAAACTCCCACTGAACTGACGGGTCAGGGAGCCATTGGCACCTGCAAAGGGTGCAGAGCCTGTGCTCCCAGAAGTCCTCAAAGCCTCCTCACAGCTCTCCCAGGTACAACAGCTACAGGTGAGCTCCTGGCAACTGCATCAAGGTTGCTTATCCTTTGCAGTGACCTTTTACTTTCTCAACCTTCTCTAAGGTTTATATGTATTGCTTCAATGATACACCTTCACTTTTAAGTGCTGCCATCAGCAAGGTCTGGACACTTACCTTCACTACCTTCAAGTGAGACTTGTTTTTCTTAGGTAGACAAGGAGACAGGAACCTGACAAAGCAAAGGAATCAAAACAAGGTTTCTAGAACTAGGAAGGGGGAATGACAGGGCCACATTTATCTCAAGCCCCTGATAATCCTTTAAGAAATGCTTGAGGCATTTGCAGTTTACCATGTGAAAAGGTACCAGAAGCTCCCAAGCAATTCTTAACCAGTGACAGCCACACACTTCTGATATATCATCTAGTAAGAGAACAGTCACTCACCACAAACCTGAACCGCTTCCCAGTGGGCTTCCAAAGAGAACAATCCCGATTTCAGAATTCATAGTCAATATTTATTACACCAACTGTTGCTGCTGTAATTCACCTGGTCTGTCAGGCAGGATACAGCTGGCCTGAAAACCTGAGGCACTGGGCCAGTGCACATATGAAAAATGACCAGTTCAAGTGAAAATGCATTGTTCAAAGACAGATGAATAAAGGAATCCAACACATCTCTCCAACGACAGTGCTTTTTCCCCCCTTTAAAGGAAAGCAGTGTTTGAAATAAGGAAAATTCCATGACAGAGGCTAAAAAAACGCTTTCATACTCTGGGGGCCTTCAGTGAATGCTGAACAAGAACCACACACGCA